AGATAGATAGATAGATAGATAGATAGATAGATAGATAGATAGATGGATGATAGATAGACAGATGATAGATAGATAGATGGATGATAGATGATAGATAGATGGATGATAGATGGATAGATAGATAGATAGATGATAGATAGATAGATTGTCCAGACACTTTATCATAAGTTCGTTCTTGTCCTTCATAGTCTTCACATGTTGTCTCTCTTCCATTCAGGCTTCAAACGACGAGGACCAACAGGGGAAGGACTTCTTCCGCTACAACCCGTCCAAGGCTCGTAGCAGAACCTACGTCAACATGCGGGAGGTGTCGGAGCGCTTCACGCTGCCCCCTGGGAAATACCTGCTGGTCCCCACCACCTTCCAGCCGCACCACGAGGCCGACTTCCTCATCAGGATCTTCTCTGAGAAAAAGGCTGCAGCGCTGTGAGTGGAGGGACTAAACTTAAAATCCGAACGTTTAACAACAACCTTAGAAAGAGTTGGAAGAAGAGGCACGAAGTTAAAGAGATCAAATGTGTATAAGTGAAAGATTCTTAAGAAGTTCAAGGAGTAAAATGATCCTAAAAATTATATGGAAACGTGTGAAATAATAGAAAATAGAAGAGAATCAAATACGCCGATGGTAAAACCTTGTGCTTTGGTTTTTTCCTTCTCGGCATCAGAAGAGAGTTTGTGTGTGCGACCGTCTTGATGCAGCTTCTGTGTTTTCTTCTGTCATATAAGTTTCAAAGAGTAAAACTGAATAATGATTGAAACTTTATAATAGTTTTAAATATCTGTGGTCACCGGGTTGACGTTCTCTCTGTGGCTCTGTTGCTCAGGGAGATGGGGAGCAACGTCGACGCCGACCTGCCAGATGTAAGTAGCCGGTTCCTCAGTCAGTCAGTCGATCAGCCAGTCCAGTCCTCTTGTACCGACGCTGTGTTGTCTCCACCAGCCGCCCATGCCCAGCGCTCCAGAGGAGGAGACCGACGAGGAGAAAGGCCTGAGGAGGCTGTTTGAGCAGCTGGCCGGTGACGTAAGAAAACCGCCACCGAACACAGCAGCTCACACTCACAGAGAAACACGACCGGAGCCTCGGGAGACACACGACTACATCAAACAAAGATGGAATTAGAATTTTCCACAAAAGAAAATATTGTTTTCAGCTTGAAGAAAAACTTGGTTTACACGAGGCAGTATATGCACGTTATAAACATAAGTGGTGTATTTACAGGACGAGGCGATCAGTGTGAACGAGCTGCAGCAGATGCTCAACGGAGTTCTCAGCAGACGTAAGTAAATTCAAAGTTTTTATTTATTTATTAGAAGTCTGTGTTGATGCTACGTTGACGTCTACAGTTTGTTTTTCATTATTGGAATCATACATGTGATGGTTTCTGATTGTCAAAATACCTGAGTGGCACCTTTAATAACCTTAACGTGTATTTTATTCTTCTCTTGTACTTGTCTTACCATGTTTTATAATTTGAATCATTCATTTAATCACTTTTATCTTTTACTATGTTATTGAGTTGAAGTTTATTTTACTGTTGAAAACCTTTGTTTTCAGGGAAAGAGATTAAATTTGACGGCCTGAGTCTCAGCACCTGCCACAGTATCATCAACCTGATGGACGTATCCTGCAAAGTTACTGACGACAATATTAATACGACTTCTTCAATAAGACTTGAATTCCCTGTTTGTAATTTAAATGTCAAAGATCCTGATGTTTTAGCACCAACATGATGTTTGATGGAGTTTTCGAAGAATCTAGGAATTTAGTAGAATCAACAAATTCAACAAAGTCCATTTTAACTCAAAATAATTTTTTGTGTTAAACAAAAAAGAAAGTCGTGGTTGATTCATAAAATAAGTTTAATTATTCCATCACAGTTTAGTGAAAGCAGCAGTGGAACTCACGTGTTCTCGAGTGTTCCTTCTTGTTTGGAGTTTTTTTCTTGACGCAGTGAAACAGGTGGACAACACCGGGAAACTGGAGTTCCAGGAGTTTAAGGTCTTCTGGGAAAAGATGAAGAAGTGGATCGTACGTGTTCATTTGTGCAGTAAAAAGAGTGAATGGACTCCGGTGCTGGAGTGTGAGGTTGAACTTGTGTTGTTGTTGTAGATGCTCTTCTTGTCGTTCGACACCGATCGCTCAGGGAAGATGTCGTCCTACGAGCTGCGCATCGCGCTCAAAGCTGCAGGTGAGAGTCGACTGAAAACTCCTGACGCGCTTCATGTTTCCCAACATTTCACATTTCTTACAAGAGTTTGTGTTTGAATTCATTCCTGTCGAGGACACGTGTTGTTTCTATACGTAGGTTTTCTTATATAGACATTTATTGAAGATATGAATAAAGTGACTAATGCAATATATTTCGTTTAAGAAGTTCATTGACTTATTTTTTGAC